ATTGTGATCTCAGTGATAGAAGTTCTTTTATTAGATCTATTTTTCTTTTTAAGACATCTGCTGGTGCTTATTGATCCACCATCCATTGCTTTAGTCTGAGCCATTAAAAATATATCTTGTACTGGTTTAGAAAGAGCTTGAAAAGATTCTCTTAATTCTGCAAATTGTTCCTTGGAAATTCTTGAAGAACAGCCACAATTACATCCTTTTCTAAAAAATCAATTGCTTTTTCATATTCATTAGAACCATTATTAATTTTCATATATCTATAATCCTATATATAATTTTATGTTCACTTTGTAAGTTTTTTAAAATTGAAAAGATGGATTGTAGGGGAAATCCTTTTTCCTTAGATCAAATACAAGAGACAAGTAGTGTTAATTTATTAATACAAGTTACTCTTTATTAGTTTGGAAAGCTTATCTTTTCATACACATAATATTACATTGATTAAAATAAATAAATAAATTATTATCATAAATGTAATTTAAATTTGGATGCATTACTATTATGTGAAGTCAATTTCATACCACAACACATTATCCAAGATAAAAAAAATTAAAGATGACATGAACAAGAAAAACTGTTATATGGATAGAAATCATTCAAAGAACAAAATATTGAAAAGGAAAACAATTAATAAAATATTTTTTATTTTCATTAACAATTTAATAAAAATTGTTTCTATATTAAATAATTATGTATTAACTTTAATCCTTTCCTTGATGTGTACATGTTTATTACAGCATTCATAACATTTACAAAAAATTAAATAATAATTAATACCAAGGCCATGCAGAAATGAAAACTTTTTAAGGAACCTGATTTTTCACCTCCCAATTATATAGTTCCTTGAAAAACCATGAATAATAAATCTGATGATGATTACAGGTGTCAGATTTAATAAAAACTTTCCTATCGCAAGCATCCAAGTTAGTGCTTTCACACACCCTCATAATTGTAGAATTTCTTCCACAAGTGAAGGCCACCCACATGTTGGAAGGCTTTGGACAAAACTTTTCTTATCTTTTTCTCAGACCAGGCTTGGCTGTTACCATATGAGCATTGATCATTGACAAGAGTTGGCATCTGTGTGATATACCTCTCTAGAATAAAGTTGATATCTGCAACTCAGGAGGTTGCAACCTGGGTTGTTGCTATTTTGGATTTTCCCTGAATTCAGAGTTGAGTCCTGAGTTGCTGTCTGGTCAAGTGGCATGCCTACTCACCAACAACCCTACCCCCATTTATTTAAATAACAGGTTCAGTTGGTCAAATAAAATTAAAGAGAAATAGAAAATTTGGGAAAATGATTAATTTATACAAAACATATCAAAATCTGAACCATTTTATAACTTTTTCCTTGTTGGCCATATTGCTGACAAAGATATATATAATCATGCAATAATTTTAATCTATAGGATAGAGGACTGATTGGGCAAAAACCTACCCAGTCCCATACTCAAAAAATTATAAATTGGTTAGTGTCAAAAAAAAACAGAGAATTTAGGAAAATGATTATACAAACAGACACTATTTTACAACTTTCCTTCTAACATCAGAGTTCAAATGCAATTTCAGGGCCACAAACCCTTCTCTGAATTGTAATCTCCTCTTGATATTCCTCCAGAGTTGCGACAGCTTGGTCACAGAGCCAACCTTACCCTAGAGTAGGATTGTTGCAGGCAACTTTTCGGCCAGCATGCCAGCAGTTTTCTCTGGTCTGGTGCTGTGAGGGAAGATTAGTGAAAGTGTCATTGACAATTGGTGCAGTCTTGATGCATTCCAGGGCATTGCACCCCTCCCCTAGAATTTAACAGCATTGTTGTATCATCGAGGGGTCGCAAGTCAGATTAACCTTATGTACACGAGGAAGATGAGTGAATGACTGTAATGTGTTCAAGATAGTGTGCATGCTTCAATGCTGCTATTTTCCTGTAATCAAATGTCACATACTCAAAATGTCTCTTTTCAATGGTGTGCTGCCTTGACATCTCCTTGTAATTATTATAGCAACATTAATAGTAATATTATTATTACAATTACGCAAGGCAAAATACCAATCATTCGTTGTTGATAAGAATCTTATAATTACCCAGCAAGATCTGCTTCGTGTTTTGATTCAATTAAAATATTTATAAACTAAAATAAAAATATCAATACAAATAAAAAAAAGTACCTGGTTAGTTATTAACACGTTTTCTTTAGGAGATCCAAACCAAACCAAACAACAACACTCGCATTTTGTCATCTTGGACTCTGTCAAAAAATAAATTGTTTTTCCCAAAAAAAAAAAATCAATTCACGTCAAATCTTTGTACAACACCAAGTACCAATAATAAATAATCAATGACGCGTTTGATTAACATTTTTTATTTATTTTTTTTTTATTTATTTTTTTATTATCATTATTATTTTTTTTTTTTATTTAATTAATTATTTTTTTTTTATTTTTTTTTATTTTTTTTATTTATTTTTATTTATTTATTTTTATTTATTTATTTATTTTTTTATTTATTTTTTTATTTATTTTTTTATTTTTAATTAATTATTATTTTATTTATTTATTATTAATTAATTATTTTTATTTAATTTTTTTTTTTTATTAATAAGTTAAGTTTGGATGGAAGGTCTGTGTTCAGTTCGTTATGAAAAAACTTGTCAATCTTGACCAAAGAAATACAAATAAGGAAATTGTTTGCATAAAAAACTATGGACCTTTCTTATATATATGTATATTATCTTTAGTTTTACAAATATATTTGAATTTTTGATTGAATTTAATTGGATAGAATTAAGAGTGATTATTATTGGTATATATATTTAAAAAGGAAAAAAATAAGAATATCGTTATTTATAATCTTATGCTTAGTGTTCCTATTCAAATATCAGCAATCGAAATGATATTTGAATATTCACATTAATTAGCATATTCGAAATTGGTGTCAAATAATTTTTATATATTCGAATATCCATAACACTTTCGGATATCGTAACACTTTCGAATATCGTAATACTTTCAAATATCATAACACTTTTGAATATCCGCAACACTTTCGCACTTTCGAATATCGTAACACTTTCAAATATCCGTAACACTTTCAAATATCTGTAACACTTTCGAATATCGTAACACTTTCGAATATCTGTAACACTTTCGAATATCCGTAACACTTTCGAATATCTGTGTAATAAATAATAATTAAATCATGATAAATGTAATGATTTATGGAAATAAATAAGAAAGTCTAAACATTATAGTCAAACAAATTATTTATTTTTAAGTTTAGAAAAATTTGGATTGATGAGATTATCTGTATTTTTTATTATTTTTAAGAAATGAAATTTTTGTGTGTAAAAAAGTATTTAATTTGTTTTTTACAATCTATAACACTTTCAATATCCATAATATTTATTTGTAATACATATTTGTTGATAAAATTTCTTCAATTAAAAATGTCTTTGGTAAATGATAACAATAGCATTATTTTAATTAATGATAGAGAAGAAATAATTTCTAATTTTTCGTCAGAAGAGTCCATTGCTAATGATAGACCACCAAATAGAAAAAAATACACAAAACATGGAAGACCTAGAGGAAGCTATATCTGGGATCATTTTATTGAAGAAGGAGATGAACGAATTTGTCAAGTAAAAGTGCCCCTTTCTCTGGAGCATCCAAATGGATTATGTGGCAAAAGATTACCAAATGTATCAAGTACTAGTAATTCAATAAGCCATTTATTAAAATTTCACAGTATACTTCCACCCACAGAACAACAAAAAGTATATTAATATATTATTTATCATTTATTTTTTAAATATCTTATATTAAATTTATGTTTGTTTCGTTATAATAGTTAGAATCTGAAGGACAAACAGATATAAGGGATTTAATACAGAAAAAAAGAGCCTTATCAAAAAAAGAGCAAGACAAAATTAATCAAGACTTGATCAATTTTATTGTTGATGATATTCAACCATTTAACATTTTAGAAAATAAATTTTTTAGACATTTCGTAAGTTCATTGAATCCCAACTATGGAATTCCTTCACAGCCAAAAGTTGATCAACTAATTGAATTTGCATATCACAATACCAATCAAAAATTAACTAAATTAATTGATTCTGCTGATGTTGAATATGTTTCTTTGACATGTGACTTCTGGACTTCTAGGGGGCATCATGGATACATTGGAGTCACTTGCAGCTTTTTATCTGAAGATTTTGAGTTTAACAAAATCTTGCTGGCTCTTCAACATGTTCCTTATCCCCACACAGCAGAGACAATCAATAATAAATTACAAGATGTTATATTTAAATGGAATCTCAAAAACAAAGTATTCACTTTAACAACTGACAATGGTGCTAATATGGTCAAAGCTGCTAGACTTCTTAATTATGATCTAAATATCATAAGAATACCATGTTTTGCACACACTTTACAATTAGTTGTAAATAAGGCATTAAAAATTAATACAAACATTCAGTCATTCGTTTTAAGATGCAAAAGATTGATCAACTTCTTCACTACCCCTAAACAAAAAGAAAATCTTGAAAAGATGCAAAAAGAGCTGAGTTATCCAAATATTCATACAGTAATTCAAGATATCAGCACTAGATGGAATTCATCATTTTATTCATGGAGAAGGTTAATTGATTTACAAAGTGCAGTTACTCATTTACCATCTAAACTAATGGCTGATCTAAATAAAGATAACAAAAAAGATGGGAAAAGGCTTGAATGAATCATGTTAAATGATAGTGAGTGGATTTTGATGAATGATCTTGTGCAAATCTTTAGTGGATTTGAAGAACTCACCAGAAAATTCAGTGGAAAGTCATATGTTACTTTTTCTGTTGTATATCCTTTAATCAACTCACTAAAGGAGAAATTGAATTTAATATTAAATTCCATTGAAGATTGCAACAACATTAATATTTCAATTAATCAAAATGATGAAAGTTCAGAAATGATGCAAATGGATGAAGAAGATGATTCACTTTTAAATATTGAGGTCATTCCTGATGAAGAAGAAGTGGATGAATTAATTGTAGCTGTACCTAAGGTTGCGGGAGAAACTCCTCCAGAAATCAATCGACAGAGTTTCGACAGGTTACACATTAATTGTTTATTAGAGTTTCGGCAGAGTTTCGCATTTGGGGTTTTCGCCAATCATCAGAGTTTCGACAGGTTACACATTAATTGTTCATTAGAGTTTCGACAGAGTTTCGACAGTCATTAAGAGGTTTCGCCCACAACCTTAGCTGTACCTGGATCAAAAAAAAAATTAACATATCTAGACCAATAGATACAAATGGCTTGAAAGTCCATATTTTAAAAAATTTATTATTATCAATTGATAAATATTGGGATTTACCATCAGATTTATCATTTATTTCATCATCACTTGATCCAAGATTAAAAAATCTTAATCATTTGAGTTCCACACAACGAGAAAATATAAAATTGCTTTTACAAGAAGAATATCAATTGCTAAAAAATAATCAACAAGAATCAAGTCAATCTCAAAATAATT